TTTAAAAAATTTTTTTTTGCAAGTATTCGAAATTGACTTGGCCAGGTTATTAAAACCAATTAATTAATTTTGCATAAATTAAAATAAATAATTACTTGAATTACTTTAATCTTTCGTTTTGCCTTTCTTATGCTCGTTGTTTTTCTTTTTTGAATTAAGGGTGATGGTGTTTCACAATTGATATCTTGTGGTTGAATTGAACATAGAATATGACTAGGCTTACATGGTTTTGCTGATGGTTTCTGAGGAGATCCATTGTTTATTAATTGCTTTTTGTTTAATTCCAATGGTTGAAAAGGATCAGTGCAAATGTTTGAGTATTTTTTTGAAGGATAAAATATTTGTACATCTATAATATTTAAATTAGATAAATTTTCACTAATACAGTAATAAAAAATATGTATGTTAGTAATATAAATACTATTAATATTATAAAGGTGAACTATTTCTTGATATGCTTCTTCTGTAGACCCAAGATAAATTATGTTATTTTTTTGATCTGAAGATATAACTCATTCTTTGTTTTTAAAAAAGCTAACTAGAATTTTTTATCTCATGTACTATGTTTACAGGGTTTATATATATTGTTGAGAAAATTCTTGTAGTATGACAATGTTTACAGACATCATAAAATGGCCCATTCCAAATGTAATCTAAATATTGTGAACATTCTCCTATAATAATATTTGTTGTATAGAATCCATCTCTTTACAGTTATCAGATAGTAGCTTTATCATTGGTTGAAGATAAGTAATATTTTTCTTCTCTAATTCTATTAATTCCTCATTACAATATAAACTAATAGTTTTTAATTCATGTTGTTTTTTAACATAATAATAGTTAGGATTATCCAATTGTTCAACCAATCCTAAAAAAAAATATAACCTTCCTTGATTTAAGCATCGATTCATATCTGAGATCATTTTGGATGATTCATTTTGCTGTAATGGTTTTATATTAATATATTAAATTAATATATTTTATATGCATTATAGTACTATATAGGCTTATTTAACTTACTTGTTCAATCGATTGGGCATTAAAAAGTGTAACCAAGTCTGCTTTATAAGTTATCTAACCTGTTCCTTATTTGTTTAAATTCACATATATCAATTTTAGTCCATATAGTCATTTAATAAATATAATGATAATTTGTTTTTCAGATAATCAAGATTCAATTGTACGATTCATTCTTTCAGTATGATTGTTGGTATTTATTAAATTTTTTTGATTAATTGGAAAGCGGCCTGTATCAATAAATTGTAATCTCCATTCATCACACATCTAATTATTACTTAAATCTTTAGACAATGAGATTTTCTGATCTTGAGTAAGTGGAAGAACAATAAGAAAATTTTTATAATAATTTGTCATTTCAAATGCTTTTTTTTCAGTATAACATTGGCTTACCATTTTAAATCTCAATGCAATTATATATCTAAAATATTTTAAATAATTAACATTAATTTATTATGTAGTTGTAAATATATATTTAATAGTACTGCATATAAAAACCAACTTTAATAAATATGGAATATTCTATTCTTTTAAATTATTATCGAATGTTTACATAATATGAAACTAGCAAAGTATAGTTTCATGTACAAGTTGCTCTACTCCAAGTTTAGTAGGTCAGTATTTATCGATCATCACATATAGATTTCATACTTAATTAATACTACAGTTACAAATTCTTCTGAACCCTTTATGATTTTCATAATACCATGGGTGTGTGTATGTAGAATTATTACAATGAATATTCTGTTTAATAGCATTGACTGCTAACTGTATTAACTAATTGTTCTCTTTATTACTTAATCCTAATTATTATTAGCATTAGTAAATAGTAATAATTTTCATTTTAATATGTATCTAATTTTATTTTTTTATTATTATTTTTTTTTATTTAGTTTTTTAAATCTGATGTATAATAATAATTTAATTATACCATATATATTTAATAAGCTTACCAAATACAAATGAAGTTCTATGTTTTATATTGTTCTTAACTACTATAGTTAAAACTGGAACATAGTCAATATTAAGATCTTATTTTTCATCAACACCAAAACAAAACTGTCTGAAGTCTTGGTCATTGCATAACTAAAACTCATCAGATACTGTCAACTGATAGTAATATTCTGCAGAATTTTCAGATTTAGATAAATCTGATTGTTAATAAAATAAGATATAACCTTTAGGTTTTAAAATTTCTTCAACTAAATAATGCAGAATCATCCATAGGCCTGTATAATCTTTTAGTCTTCTATTCTCATGAACAACAAACCTTTCTAATTTTTTAGAATCACAAATCTCTTTACTATTTAGTAATGCTTTATTTAGTTCTTTCTTATTAGTACCATTCAATAAATATAGTAATTTTCCTTTAATAGTCTTTGGTGTTTGATGATCTGCATAATAACTAATACTAATTTGATCTCTAATTTGACATATCAAATTAATTCTTGTAACTTGTGGAGTATTGGTAATTAATATATTAGAAAGATAATGTGTTCTCTCAATTTTAATTCAAAGTTGATGACTTGAATTAAGATATGATAATTGCAAAAAAAATAAACTCGAACAGAACAATGATGCATATCATTTCCATTTTTTAGATTATTAGATAAATTGTAATTTGAATAGCTCGATATATATTTTCCAATATCACCACATTGATGTTAACAAGTTTTTCTATCATCAGTACAATACATGATCTATGACCAACATAGTCTGTCTTTTTTGAATTCAACTTGAATTTGTTCGATGTACTCTTGACCTTTAACTATAAGCTTTAAAATATCATCAATATGGTTTGTTGATTTTTGCTTACTGCATGCTGTTCATTCTGTAAAATCAGCTGCATCATCTATATGATTAAGCTTAATTAACTCTTCATATATTAATTTATTTGTTTTTACACAGCTTTGAGATTTTAAGTGAGTATTTTTTAAAAATAGATGTTGTAAAATATACCATTCGGCTACATATCCAAAAGAAACTAAAACTAAATTGTCATTATTATAAATTATTTGATTTTTAAACATTTAAACACGTAATTTCAAAAGTAAAATTTTATTCTACTCTAATCACTCTTATTTTTGTGTCTTTCATTTTAATCTTTATTAAATCATATGTACAAATAAAATAACTATTTATTTGTTTACTTTCATTATTACATAATTACATAATTATTTTATGGCAGGATGAAACCTGTGTTACAAGCAGATATGTATTTTATTCTCTAATATCTAAAGTTATATGTATACGTAGTTATACATTAAACAGTATTAAATATAACACATGATAGTCATATGTTTTGGTATCAAAAAAGTAATAAGATTTTAGGGTACATCTAGGAGTATCAAAAAAGTAAGTGCAAGTGTCTCAAAAACGTAAGTTTTGCAACATTTGTAGCTTACCACAAGATTTTTCCAGCATGTGATTTTTTGCCAATTAGATCGAAGAATTGGGTGTAACGTAAAATCAAAACAATCGACTTAAACGAAAGATTTTAAAGTAATAAGAATCATCTTTAGAGTTAGGATCAAGGATAAGAAAGGTCTTAGCTTATATTAAAATTTCACGAGGAATTTTAAAAAGACGTGATTTTATGGTCGCGTGTCGGAGTTTAAAATTTTGCAAAAAAATTTTCATGTTGCACCACATGAACCGACCCCTCATTTTCGCCATGACTAGGATACTTTATTTATTGGTATAGGATTTATTATACATTTAATAAATTCAGAAATTTGTTTTAAATGCAGCACATATTTACAAGATATAATAACATTTGATATACAATTTTATGTCGATATAATTTTACGCAATAAAATTAGATGAATGAATTCAGTGTGTGTCGCATCTTTTAATTGATTTGTTTTCATAATCCGGCCATGTCAAATTTTAAGAATGTTTATAATTAAATGTAACTTTTAAAAATTAAGATTTTTTGACATATTTCCTTATAGCTAGTTTACAAGCCGCTTTGAAAATTAAGATATAAGAACTAATTACTTAAATTTTTGTGATCTATTATGTGGGAGAACAATACTTTAACGTTACTAATTATGATATAACTACATCGTATTAACCTAATTCACATTGCTAACTTGCCTTTACTTATTTTACAAAAGTTAATAACTTTTACATTTTTATAAAGCATATAGATAAGTATATAATAGTTATACATTTACACAAAAAAAATTTCACTACCACTATAAATTAATAGATCTACTAAGCAGCTTTGAAAGTTCGTTTACTAATATGAAGCGGCGCTCCAGAACCCAACGGATCCCATTTTCTCAGTTTAAGATCAATCATATTTATAAATTCTTCATGGCTGGCTTTAATCCATGAATTTAGGGCTCCCTTTAAATTACTTAATCATCAAATAGTTAATTGCCTTCATATAGAAATCCAAAAAATCGTTTTAAATTTGAGTTTTCAAAATTTCCATTTAAAAATAATATTCCAATTCTCTAATGGAATATATAGTTGCAAGCGAAGCTAGCAAAATCTATTGAATGCTGGTAAAATCAGTAAAAATAAATATAATAGTCAGGTTAAAACTATGCTGAAACTCATATTACTAAATGGTGTGTGTGTCTGCTGTCTGCATTTGATTGGCTACATTACGGCTAATTTTGTTCGATTAGTACAAGATATTGGTCATGCAACGATTAATTTGTTTCATCGGAACAAATGATTGGTCGAGTAGCGGCACGTTTCAGCCAATCGTTTGCCCCAACAAATCAAATTTATCATCGCATGATCCAATATCGATGTTATCGTGCAATTATGACCATGATTTACGAATCGTGGTTGGCTAACTGAGTTTTAGTTTAGGATTATTGTGCTTACGTAATAACGTACAAAAAATAACTAGAAGACAAATCTATGCTCATATGAGCTTGCACGATAACTTTTAATTCTGGTCAAGTTTGCAGATCATTTGGCCAATTTCATGGTTTTTTTGATTCGGAATTTGGCTTAATGACCAGATCTGAGGATGTATCAGTCCTGTCAGTCCTAAGCAGTTTTCTTCGTGGGCACTAATTAAGTTATTTATACCAATATTTTAATAGTACTTATTAAAAGATAATAGCAAAGCTTAAGAATTCAAAAATTTCCAAGATACGTATAGGTTTTAGGACTAGTTTTGGTCCGATTTAAGACATATACAACCTTACATATTAGAGTAGGTTTTCTCTATTTTTCGATAAGTTAATACTACTGAATTTTACTTTAAATAACTTAATTAGTGGTTCATGCTAGAGTCGCAGGGAAACTAATCTTCAATGGTGCACCAATTTCCATCAATCATTGGTGATATTGGTGGTAGTGGTGAAATTAGTAGTATGGGTGAAACTGGAAAATCTATGTTGGAAATCTGTTTTAAAATTTATGTTCTCATGAAAACATAATTATTTAATTTAATGTTTTCAAAAATAATTGTTAACTTTATTCAGTACTATACTATATAGAGAACATATTTATTAAACAATATGTTCTCAAAAATTTTTTTATAAAGAACATGTTTAAAGTAACAAATGTTCTCAAATCCAAAAGTATGTTCTTTTGAGAACATGAGAACATCAAATTTCCAATACTAAGTGAAACTGATAATTAGTGGTTCTAGGTTGGTTTGGGTCCAGGTTTAGTCCAGGATTGAACTGGACTCAAATTCCAAATTTTCTAGTTTTAGACTTCAAACCAGACTCAAACTCAATTATAAGTTCAGTCTGGATCTGATATGAAGTTTGCAAATTAGTTGATTTCAAATACATATATATATAAATTTTAGTATTAGATAAGTTTACTTAGTGTATAAAGTTAAAATTAATTAGCAATTTTTTGAGAATAATTAGATTATATAGAATTTTATTAATAATATTCTATAAAATTTTATTATTTTCAAATT